TCTTCTAACACTTTCTTTGTCAACTTATTCTACTAACCCTAAACCTACCCTAACAGTCTACTCTGAGAGTTAGTAGACATGTAGTTGCAAATTAATGAGAATTAGTTGACATGTAGTTACAAAGTTACTTATAGTTAATAGAATGTCTAAAGTGGACTATCGAAATAAAGTGTAACCCATTATTTCAATTTATTTTCTATTTAAAAATATTTTAAAATGTCATTTAGTCTGTGCACGCCACTGGTGATAATAAAAATAAGCATTTTAAAAACACACTTAAGTACAGTCTTATTTTAACAGTTAGATAAAAGTTTTTTTTACATCGTCATGTAAATAAATCATCATGGACCTCTTTATTGTTGTCATATACAAAAACTCTGACTGACAACTGTGAAATGTTCTAAAACTGTAAATTACAAATCAGCTAGTAAACGTTTAGCTGGTACTGGCAATGCAAGACCTTTTTGTGAATAACAGGAGTTATAGCTGACAGTGCTTCCCCCACCTTCACGTCAGCACACTATTATTAGGAAGGTGTGTCATTGCCTCACTTGTGCATCCACTCATCCCAGCCGCAGCCGTCTGTGCCCTGCTTCAGGCCACATTTGTTAGCAGTCACATGCAGACGCTCTCTCACTATACCTGGCCCCTGAAATCTCCTCTGGGTCTGTATGTTTATACTTCACAGAGGTGAGATCCTGAAGGAACACTCACAGGCAGTGGGTTTGTGTCCCGTGTCCCTGTCTCCGTACACCTCATCCACCCAAAGCAGAATGGGAGAGCAAGAACTGTCCAAACTGCTCACGATCTAGCATGTGAATGAATTGCCAAAATGCTGACCTTTGTGCTAGATAGAGAAGTTAATGATGTGCATGTTGCACACCCAGCCATTTAAAAAAAAGTTTGTGCCAAAACAACCCATGTCTCTCACAGTCCCTCAGATCAGAGTATTTAGTAAGGCTTGTGTGAATTGATAAAAAATGTTCTTGCAATAAAATTTATATAAAAACCTTGCAATGTAATATCTCAAATTTACATTAAAGGAATAGTTCACAGGATTGGACACGAGAGGTATTGCAATGTATCCACCTAGAAAAAATTTGACATTCTTCCAAAGGATCACTGAGGGCCTTTTACAAAATGTGGAGCCCTATATTATGTACTATTGAGAACCTTACTGTGACATCTGGACCTTCTGACTAGACCCTTATTCATTTGATTAGACTTTATTGTATTGTCTGTTGCTTTTTGATATCCTTATTTTATTATTTTTATTTTTTGTGTGTTATTTCGGTGGCCCTTGGGTTTTTTTTTTTTTTTTTGAGCTGTCAGCTGTCAAACATCATGTGAGCTGTACTGGTCAAAGTGGTTAGATGGTTTTTTTTCCCCCTCTGTGACAGTCAACCCTGGAAATATTTGTAATATAATATTTGTATATAATTTTCTTTTTTGTTCTAAATTGTTGACACTGACTGTCAGTTTTGTCTAGCTTAATCCTATTGTGTAGCTTTTTCAACACCAGATAAAAGTCAATTCATTTTGCATGAATCTATGTTTTGAGGTTGTGAAGAGTAAGACAGTTTCACTGAGAATTAACTCATCAGTTATGAACAAGCCCTGTGTATTTAGTCATCTGCAATTTGTAGACAATTGTACTTTGTACACAATTGTACACAATTGGGGGGGGGGGGTCTCATTTGAGAGCTGAATAGGCCTC